ATAAGAGAGAAGAATCAGATTTTGAGCTGTTGAACTCTGTTAGCATTGGTTTAGAGTCTATATCATGCTGTATATTCATAACATTTGGTATGAGAACCTTGCATTAGGTCTAGGGCTTGCTCACCCTTCATAAAATTTGGGCATTTTGAATCTTCTATTTGAATTTCCTGGTTGGGTCAGTGGTTGATCTGTATATACCCATTAAGGTTTAAAACAGAAACCATCACTGTTTGTTTGGCATTCTAGTTCCTAATTCGATACTGATTCCTGTGATTTTGTGTTGTGCATATTGTTGATCGAGATTGGGTGATTCTGGAGACTTTGGCTGGCTCGCTTGACTAAGGAACTGGTGATATATGTTACTTTTTTTCAACAGTGGTTTGGTAAGATTATTCCTAACTCTCCGACAGGTTAGGTTTGGTATTTTTACCCGTTTATGCATGATAGCGTGATTGCCTATTTGTGAATTCTGTTAATTGAATTCTTGTGGTTAATTTGTAACCTAAAAAGCATGCTTATCTGCATCATATACATGTACATTGCCTAAGTTTGAATCACACTTGCACGCACATTACATAGAGGTTTCGTGATTGGATTGTTTCATTGTTGTGCTTCATTTCTGAACATTGGTTTTAACTCTGCATTCATACTTTGTGTTCATCATTTGGAAAAGATATTTTCAAAACCTTTTCTGTTACGTCCATGAGTACGAGCCACTCTTTTACATAATCGGGAATGGGTTCGAGGGTCGAATTATCACAATTCGATGGAAATGGGGACTACTCAATTTGGAAACAGAAAATGAGGACCATTCTGGTCCAACAGAGAGTTGCTAAAACTTTCGATGATTCTTCTACTTTTTCTGATGAGTTAAAAGCTAAACCTTTTGAAATTGAAAAAATGAATGAAATTGCATATACTATGATTTTGCACTTATCTGATAACATTGTTAGACAAGTTGATGGTGCTAAAGATGCTAGGACTTTATGGACTACCTTAGATGCTTTATTCTTGACTAAGACTTTGCCTAACAAGATATATCTGTTGGAAAAGTTGTTTAGTTTTAATATAGACCCAGGGAAGGATATAGAAGGGAATTTAAGCGATTATAGCATAATTGATAAGAGTTTAGCTCATAATGATAAGAAGTTAAATGATGAGGATTTAGCTGTCATACTGTTAAATGCACTTCCCGAATCTTATAAAGAAATCAGAAATGCCTAAAATATGGTAGAGATACTCTGTTGCAGGCTATTGTGATAGATGCATTGAAATCGAGAGAACTAGAACTAAAAAGAGACAACAGAACTAATCCGAGAGAAGATTGTCTGTTTGTTAGGGGAAGACCTGAATGGAAAGAATTCAACTTCCAAAACAAGAAGGGAAGGAGAAAGTCTAAAATGAGATCAAAATCTAAAGATAAAAGTGGTAAGAAATGCTATAACTATGGAAAGTTAGGGCATTTCAAGAAAGACTGTTTTGACTGGAAAAAGAAACAAAGAGACTTAAACAATACTAATTAAAACAATGCTGCCGTTGTTTCTGAATTCGATAGTCTACACGTCCTGAATGTGTTTGAGGGAGAATTTGATAAAATTTGGATCCTAGACACAGGGTACACCTTTCACATGTGCCCTGAAAGGTCTTAGTTCTATAACTATCGAGAGGTTGAACCTAGGAAGGTCTACATGGAAGACAACAACTCTCAGAATGTGGTTGGAGTTGGTGACATAGCCATCAGAATGTACGATGGGGTTGTCAGGTAACTCAAGGAGGTTAGATATGTCCCTAATTTAGAGAGGTACCTCATTTCCTTAGGTTCTCTTGAAGATGAGGGATATACCTTTAAATACGGGAATAACATTCTGAAAATCTTTAAGGGATCTCTGATAGTTATGAAAGGACCCAAGAGGAATGGGCTGTACTATCTAGAGGGCAAAACTGAAACAACACCTGATTCAAGTCTTCTTGTAGCCAGTAAAGATAAAACCGAACTTTGGCATAATAGAATGGGTCACATTGGGTTTAAAGGGCTAAAATCTTTAAGTAATCAGAAATTACTTGGAAAAGATGACATTG